TACTAATAAATCACCATCATGCTCACTAAAAACTCAAAAGAACTTTTCATTTTTTTAAGCTAAAAGCCTTAGTAATAAAGCTTTAAACTCGCAACTAGAATATTGAGTAATTTTAATAAGTTTGCATTTCTGAAGTTATATCCCTAAGTGCAATAGAACTTCATCGTACAAAGCACATTTAGGTACATGTTGAAATGTTTTAATATTAAAGTAGTCAGATAGTATTTATAGGAATCAGATAGGAATAAAAACTTTGGAAAGTTGTAAAATCATTTTACAGCTTAAGTGCATTTATTCAAAATGTTCTATAATGAAGTCAGTGACCAGATGATGCAGATTAACTCTTTGGGAAGTTTAACAAAGCTGAAACAAATTATTTTTGTAATGTCTTTTTTTAAACAGGATGTCTTCACAATTTCATAGATAATCTGATGATTGAAAATATCAGTGCTCAATAAATTGACTCTGTTCAAATTACAAGGAAAGATAAAAGCATTGATCTATACCCAAGGTTCTCAATTTCAAAATGGCAAAGTTAGCAGAACTAGTCAGTAAAATCAACTAGACTCTTAAAACAAAAAACAGGATAGAAAGCCACACATCTAATCAGAAACTGAAGGGACAAAGGGACAAGTGACAAAAGACAAGCCACATGAGACTATGCAAAGGATATTAAAACAAAAAATAAGGGGGGAAAAAATTCAGCCACATAAAAATAACTAAATGAAAAAAAGTAGGGTTGTTAGAGAGAGAAGCAAGAATAGAGATTAAAGATCTTCAAGTTATGTCTCCAAAACTAAATACTTTGCCTCAGTTTTCAGTAAAGACAAAGACAGACTAAAAGAGCAAAAGCAAACTAGCTAAAATAAATGAGGCTATGGAAATAGCAGCCATCACAAGCAAAATTCAAGAAGTACAGTGCACTCAAAATCAGAAAGAGGGTTACTATTCATCCCAGAGTTCTGAAAGAACTAGTACATGACATTGCAGGTCTTACTAAAAGGATTTTTAACACCTCAATCAAGTTAGATATGGACAACAGCAACATGCAGTGCTTGTATTTAAGGAAAAGAGTGATCTGCACAACTACAATGCCACTTCATAAAAAGTTTACTTTAATAGCATGCAAGAATTTAAAGATCATTTGGAAGAAAAGCATAATCAAAGACAGGAACATAGATGCAAAATGAGACAAAAATGCAACCTGGGTTTACCAAAGGTAGGTCATGCCAGACTAATCGAATATTTTTCTTTGACCAGATAACTGATTTTCTAGACAAAGGGAAAGCAGATGATCTTCCCTATGTGGACATCACTAAAATATATGCTATGGTACCACATAGGGGCATAACTAGTGATTTCCCCATGTGGTACCATTAATTCAAGAACTGGAATTGGGTAGGAGGCTAGCTAGAAGTGAGATAAGAGACTGTGCTAAAAGAGAAACTAATGTTCGAGAGTTACCTGATGGGAGTCCCTCAAGGATCAGTCTTGGAACCAACCTTTAATGATTTACTGAGAATACAAACTTGGGAGGCACTGTCAATTTTGATGAGTACTGGGATATCATACAGTAAGAACCAGATGACACTGTGGACTGGATTAATAAAAAATGGGATGAAATTCAGTAGGACCAAGGTCAAAGCCATGCACCTCAGGATTAACATGAATTTCTTCTATAAACTGGGAGCTCATTACTGGGAAACAGAGAAAATAGACTTGGCCTTATTTGATCGCAGAATGACTATGAGTTACCAGTTGAATGCTACCATGAAGGCAAATGCAGTGCTGGGATGTATGAAGCAAGGTGTTTCCAAAAGGGATAAGCTTGCAAGGTAATACGACTGTGTTCTCTATAAATATATCAGGGAAAAGAAAACTGTTTGAGCTATATGTCCATCAGTTCTAGTGCTAACATAAGTACCAACTATTCATAAATATAAATGTACCCTATAAATTAGAAGGGATAATAGAAACAAAAGTGACCTAATACAGATCGATCAGGATCCGATCACACATTCAAATTAAAGCTGGATAGAAACCAGCTATAGCGTTGTTACACATTTTCAAGTACTAACACTGTAGCTGGTTGGCTCTTTTTATAGCTGAACAGACATTCTTATGGCATGATAATTACTCTGCACATGTGGCCAGGCTAAATTTACTGCACAGTTAAGTGCATAATATATGTAACATAGCAGGCCCTCAATTTATGAAAAGGTATCATGCAAAATAGTTTGCCTACACTAGTAATGGCTTTTCCAGCCTTACATTCCTATATACCCACTGTCCAGTATCACTCATTTGGCAGGGTTCATAGCTCAGCAAGCGTAGGGGAGATTTCAGGATGGGGGGGCAGGGGACTCTGTATGTCTGGCTTGGGGTGGGGGAGGCGGGAAGACCACACAGCCTGCCCTGCTAGCTACCCTTCCTCCTTACTTTCTGCTCCCCAGCAGCCCTGGCCCAGTCCAGTCAGAAGCTGTCACGGCTTCTCCCTAGCCTTGCTAGGCTGAGGCTGAGCCAGGGTGGGGAACACAAACAGATGGAAGGGGCAGAGGGCAGACAAAAAAGAGGAGGCACAGAGGCAGGGGTCTGGCCCCTCACTCCTTTCCTTCCCACAGAAGTGGGGGAATAAATTCAAGATGACCCCCCCCCCAATAATTAGATTCTATCCAGGGAAAATTATAACACATTATAATGTTTCCACGTATAGAACCCAATTATTTGGAGGTTGTCTTAAATTTGAAGCCATCTTGAGATCTGGTAAATACAGTAGATGAGACGGATTTCTACCTGTGTTCATCTGGCTCAAATGACAGTGTAATCTCAGATACTCTCTCATCGCACTTCTTCAGAACACAGGATATTGGAAGGAGCAACACACATGAAGGAAGCCCCATAAGCAGCTCTACAGAATAAACTACTGCAAACTAGTTTGAGGGGTAAATTGGGAGAGGTGTTAGACAAGCTTGTGAGAACAAAGTGCCCTTCAGATTTGGGAAAGAAGACACTTCATGTGAGCAAGTGGAGGATATAAAGTCTGGACTTGATTTCATCAGTTGTTTTTGTATTAGAATTTATTCAAGGGATAGAAGTGACTGAAGAATCCCAGCTAAACTCTTCGCGTTGAGACACACCTACATAGTAGTGCCAACACACGACAACTGTATTCATTATAAGAAGTTGAATGCTCAATTTTTACTTATAATTTCACTATAGTTTTAATTTAACATGTAATTCTGAGCAAACGGGCTATGAACGCCTGTCACGAAGTATAAACTTCAATTAAAACTAAAACAGAAGTGTTTCAGCGGTGATTTCAGTATAAAGATCATCCACCTAACAGTTTTACTGCATCACGTATAATTTAAAAACAAAAACTAACAAGATGGCTTAAAGTACAGCATTTTTTAAACAAAGCAATACTTTACTGAAAAGCTATGTAAATTGGCCTTTCTAATTTAGGTTGGATTTTTATTAAAAACAATTGCATCCATTCACATGAAAGCTTATTTTCATATGGAAAAACTGCGATACATTCATAACGTGTTTCTCATTACATGAACTGAGAGTAGGTAAAGTTATGAACACATTCTTAAACTACTGTTAAAACATAAATCTAAGGAAGTGAAGCCTTTCGTTGCACATAGCTCAACCACTCCTGACACAAAGCAAAATGTATTTTTATTAACAATTGAGCGACAGGCTACCTTTAGGACATGCTACAAGTTTCATTTACTTTCAGCAGGTCTATTTTCAACCATTGTTGCTATACTGGGAGGAGGGGGTTCCTTTGTTTGGTTTTGCGGTACCTTTCCTACTACTAAATGTGAGTGGATCCCTCTGAAGTGAGTTGGGTGGCTATTTGGTTTGTCACCAATACAGATACTTTTACATAATCTACCCAAGTGCTGTATTTGAGTCTCTGTTTATAGCTGCATGCACATTTTTAAATAAGATGCCTTCCAAGAACCCCATATGTATATTAAGTGAGTGAATGTCAAGTCATATTTTGTTCCCCAAAAAGAGAAAGAAAAAAAAAAGAATCGCAAGAAACAGTGGTTTATTTTTCCCCTTTGCCACCATTGATCATAAATTGAAGGCTATTTAAGAGTTTAAGCATAATCGTTATCAGGATACACATACGACAGACAAAGAATATGGAGAGAAAGAAATACTGAATTAAAGGAAAGGGACTTAGTGAGCATCAGCTGCTCTATGGTAACCCTTTTGTGCATCTAATAATCCCCACAGTAAGGGGATGCTAAATCACAGCAACTCACTGTTATTTCATTTGAGGGTAAAATGCCCTGATTTAGCAACACTGAAGTGGACACACAAAGTAGTTAACACAAATTGACTGATGCACGGTAATTTATTCCTCCTTTAACTCTGTATAATTTATCTGCCCATACGCCAAGAATCCTGGGCAACAATTATTAGGAAAACAAAAAGGTAAATTTACTGCCATATAAAAAGGCAAAATTGACAACTGCCTCATGACATTAACATTTACTTTTAAAGCAATTGGTCTATCATCCTTGCAAAAGTGATTAAATAAGGTTAATTCATATTGGAAATCAAATTAAATCAGGTTACTTAGTTTAATTTCTCGTTTTTTAGGGAGGGTATTCCAAAATCAACATGAGTTAATTACGGGTCTACTTTTATTAAAGTAGCCTACTGATTTTCAGATGTCTAATTTGTTTCAGGTGGCTTGAGGTTGACTTTCAGAAACTCTAAGCCCCCAGGAATCTAAAGGAAATAAATTGGATCTGTACTCAGAACTTTTTTTTTTTTCCTTTTTTTCTTTTTCTTTTTTTTTTTGTGGGGGGGGGGGGGGGCAGGGAATCTATGCTTCAGACCAATGACCAAAACGGAGACATCTAATAATCAGATCCAACTTACTTCTAAGTTATCAAAATAACTACACAAATGCAAAACAGTGAACAGAAAAAAAAAAACAACTTAGTCAGGAAACATGCACAAAGATAATGTACCTGGATCAATGAGAACTTCTTGTGCCCCTAAAAGGAGGAACAAAAATGATTTTCAACCTTCAGCGCAGCCAACAAAGAAAGCTATTGTAATATATTTATAGGTATCACCATGACAAGAACTATAGGAAAATTAAAATCCAGAATTGACACTGCTGTTTAAAATGACTGTTCATATAAAATTTGATGTTGTTACACCATAACTATGGCCAATTGATTAAAAACAGCCTTTACCCTATTACTGTAGAGTTAACAGAAAATTGCATTTTAAAAGTTTAGTTCCAAGCCTACAGCTAAAATGACTGTGCTGGATTTTCATTTTATATTCTAAAGTATAAGCCTGGAAAGTCTTAATTTTTATTTTTCCCATTCTTACTTTTCTTTTCTTCTTTTTAAGTTAAAGTTCCCACAACATGGTCCAGTTACCAATGTTTGAATGTAAATAATTAACTTCTACTCTGTCAAACTAAGTCTTCCTTACTGAGCTATTAGTTTTACGTATGGATACTCTAAAAATACATTTTTAATCAACTGTGAAAGGTATTTGCCATATAACTGCCACCAAGAGGAGCTTTAAACTTTGTTCCATATCTTGCAATTTCCCCTTAAAGGCTCATTCCATTTTTTAGCTTTTTTTTAATGACTCTACCTTTGCAAAGCATGGCTCT